TCAAATAAATATAAAATAATTTTATTGACTGAAAACAGGTTTGTAGTTTATATTTATTTATACACTGCTAATTTATTTACATAGTATTGACATATTTTACAGATAATATCAATTTAAAAAATCATTCTAGCTTTTGAGGTTTCTAAAAGCCTTTTACAGTTATAAAAAACCTGAGCATTTATTGTATGATTGTGAGAATTTCCGGTAAATATTTACAAATTGACTACGTTTCGTTAGGTGAAATTTGTTTATCTTTCAAATATAGCGTGAGAATTTACTTATTAATTTTCAAATCAGTATTTTAGAGGAACGCATGTGCCTGCGCATGATGGTTACACGTAAGTGCCGTTAAACAGGTTTATAATCGATGTAATTCTCGATATATCTTTATCTACTGTGATATAAAAAGTAGTCTGGAGTATGGTGGAAGCATTTTTTTTTTAGAGGCCACGACGTTTATTTTTCGGCCAGCTTTCTAAGTAACTCAGGGGCTATGCTAAGTTCATTGTACGCATGGAACCAGAGTTCGAACCGTTCCGGCACCAATAAATTTGTAAGTGAATTTTCAGTTATGATTACTCGGTGATGACGAAAAACATCGAGAGAAAATCTGCATGTCTGATAAATAAAATATATCGATAATATAAAGTCCGCTTCATTGTCGGTCATTTTTATATAATAAGCGTGACAAACAAGCACGCAGTCCACCTGATGTTAAGTGGATGCTGTGGTTCATAGACATCTACATCTATCCTCGATTAAGAATCGAAATGCAGATGCCTGGTTACCTAAGATGGAATGCTTCGTTTCCAGTAAAAAGGGTCTCCAGTTCTCTACACTCACCATAAGAAACACGGCAGCATTAAGCTGTTACCCCCTCAGAACTAAGGGGAGGCCTGTAAAAAGCATCGAATCGGAACACCAGAGTGCTGAAGCGTGTGAGCACATGGATGAGCAATAGCAACTACAGAAACCTTCTTAAAAGCAAATACGCATCACCTGTTATTAGGCTTGAATCATCATCATTTTTCGTTACGTGATTCATTTGACTATCACACTGATTAATTCGTGAGCCAATCTGCAACGTTTTAGAGCTGCAGCAGGAATAGGTTGGTTCTGACGGGGAAGTACTACGCTCGCACAGAATACAAGCTTTTTTTTTTTTTTTTTTTTTTTATAGGAGAGGGGGCAAACGAGCATGCGGCTCACCTGATGGTAAGTGACTACCGCCGCCCATGAACAACCGCAACACCAGGGGAATTGCAGATGCGTTGCCGGCCTTTTAAAAAGGAGTAGGCTCTTTTCTTGAAGGTCCCTAAGTCGTATCGGTCCGGAAAAATCGCTGATGGTAATCGATTCCACAAGGAAGTCGTGCGAGGAAGAAAACATCTTCTAAATCGCACAGTGGTGGACCGCCAATCATCCAGATGGTGTGGATGGTATCGGGAGTTCTGCCGCGATGTGCGTTCATGAAATTTGGCGGCTGGGATTAATCCGAACAATTCCTCAGAGCACTCCCCATGGTAGATGCGAAAGAAAATGCAAAGAGATGCAACATCTCTTCGCAGTGCCAATGAATCGAGCCGATCGGAAAGGGCTCGGTCGTCGACGATTCGAGCCGCTCTGCGCTGGATGCGGTCAAGTGGAAGGAGCTGGCACTGGGGAGCCCCTGCCCAGAGATGGGAACAGTATTCCATGTGAGGCCGAACCTGCGCCTTGTAAAGTTGCAGGCGGTGTGCCGGCATGAAATACTGTCCCGCTCTGCTGAGCACGCCAAGCTTTTTAGAGGCCAATTTGGCCTTCTCTTCCAAGTGACCACGAAACAGCACGTCACTCGATATGTCGACTCCGAGGATACCGATACTGGCTGAGGCAAGAAGGGGAGTGCCTTGAAACTGAGGAGATACGACAAAGGGGTTCTTTTTAGCGGTAAACGCGCAAACTTGTGTCTTCTGAGGATTAAACTGGACTAGATTTAGTCGCCCCCAATCCGAGACTTTGTCCAGCAAAGACTCGACTTCAGACACAAGTTTGTTCCGGTACTCGGCGACGTTTTCCCGAGAAATATTGGCCCGGCCGGTGTATAGAGCATCACCAGTGCTGTCATCCGCATAGCAATGAATGTTACCAGTTAGCAACATATCATTGATATGCAGAAGAAACAGCGTTGGTGATAGCACACAGCCTTGTGGAACACCAGCGTTAATAGGCTTGTAGTCAGAACATGCACCGTCTACAACGACCTTGATGCTCCGATCTGCAAGGAAGCTGGTGATCCAATTGCACAATTTCTCGGGAAGCCCATAGGAAGGGAGCTTCGAAAGAAGCGCTTTGTGCCAAACCCGATCGAAGGCCTTCGCAATGTCCAGACTAACGGCCAACGCCTCCCCCTTGGACTCTACTGCCTCCGCCCATCTATGGGTCAGGTAGACTAGAAGATCACCAGCTGATCGACCCCGACGAAAACCGTATTGGCGGTCACTGATCAGCTGGTGATCCTCAAGGTACCGGATGAGCTGGCAGTTAATAATGGATTCCATTATTTTGGAGAACAAGGAGGTGATCGCGATAGGCCTATAGTTGGACGGGTCTGAGCGGTCGCCTTTTTTAGGGATCGGGTGGACAAAAGCTGTCTTCCATGAGTTCGGGACAACGCCATGGGAGTAGGAGTACCGGAAAAGACGCGTTAGAACCGGTGCCAACTCCGGAGCACACGTCCTCAGCACAATTGGGGGGATTCCGTCAGGCCCACTCGACTTGTGGATGTCAAGGGAGAGGAGTGCTCTGCGAACCGAGCGCTGTGAGAATAGCACATCCGGCATAGAGCACTCACACCGCGGGATGGTCGGCGGTGTGTTCCCCCCGTCATCAACAGTCGAGTTGGACGCAAAAAGGGAGCCTAAAAGGTCGGCCTTCTCTTTTGCGTCGTGGGCCAGTGAGTCGTCCTCCCTGTGCAGAGATGGTAGTGATGGCTTACAGAAATTCCCTTGGACAGCCTTGGCGAGAGACCAGAATGCACGGGTTCCCGAAGGAAGGCGAACTAGTTTCTCGCCAATTCTGCCTATGTGCTCAGACTTTGCCTTGGCAATAACTCTTTTGAAGGACCTGGAGGCGAAGTTATACTTCTTTTTAAGTGTGCTGGTGTTTACATCCCGAGTCACCGAAGCCGCAGCCCAGGCTTGATAACACTCCTGCTTTCTGCGCAATGCAGTCTTACAGGAGCGACCAAACCAAGGCTGAGATCTGCCTCCAATGGGTACCACAGATGATGGAATAAATAGTTCCATTCCCTGTAGCACCACATCAGTGACAGAGTCAGCAACAGCGCTGGGATCATCCGGCGAGAAGCAAACACGCCCCCATGGGTAGGATGCAAAGAAAGACCGCATTCCGTCCCAATCCGCCGACCTGTAATGCCAAACACGGCGGCAACCTGCAGAACGCAACCGCGAAGGGAGCGTGAGTGGCACCATACTCCGGATCAGACAATGGTCCGAAGAGCCGAGAGGGGCATGGACGGAAACCTGATATCCGTCCGGATGAGAGGTCAGCAGAAGGTCCAACAGGGAAGGTGTATGATCCTCCACATCTGGAATCCGTGTAGGCGAAGTAACCAGTTGTGTCAGACCATATGCCAAAGCAAAGTCATAAACAGATCTCCCCGCATGATCGGTTAAACGTGAACCGAGCCATTCGGCATGGTGGGCGTTAAAATCGCCAAGGATCACGATTTCTGCGGATGGGACCTGTTGTAGCAAGGAATCTGTAGCCATTTGGACGTGGTCGATGAGTCGGTCTGTTTCGGCATTACCGCTATGGGACCTATAGAGGCACCCGTAGACGCGCGGATGGTCGTCGCTGTCTACGCGTAGCCAAAGGATGGACAGGTCCGAACCTTCAAGACTGCCGAGGCGTCGAGAACAGATGTCCTCTCTGACATACACGCAAACTCCAGCCCGAGGCACAAAGGAGTGCTCCAATTTGTACCCCGGGCAGGAGAGATACGAAATATCAGCCGGAGAGGAAACCTGCGTCTCGGTCAGAAAGAGCAAGGCCGGCTTCGCCGTCTCGAGATGGTAGTGGACGGCGTTTAGGTTAGAGTGAAGTCCCCTGATGTTGCAGAAATTCACGGATAGCGTGGCAGGGGTCGCCTTGGTATTGTTGCTCAGTTTGCCCCAAGCAGTTTTGTTTTTGAGCGGAATTTTGCCCCCCCCAGAATACGCGGGGCAGCCTGAGCACCCACGCTCAGGATTGGAATAACATGGTCGTGGATGCTCAGCGAGGGATTCTCCAGGGGTACTGGTACCCTCCTGGGGTAGTCTACTTTGTAATTCCGCTACCATGTTGATGGGGGGGGGGGAATTGGGCCTCCGGCCACCTGCACTCACCAGACGAAACGCAGAAGCAGAGCCTCTACTTCACGCCGGTATTCTGTGAGGTCGTGGTACCAACCCGGCTCGAGCCTGCCCATACGTGCAACAGCAAAAAAACTGCTGCGGGGCTCTACCACCGTTTAGAAAATAGAATCACCGCTATTTTACCATGTTTTTTATCAAAACGCTTTCATGTATGTCTGTTCGAGTCGAATTTAATAATGGATTTTAAACTAACTCCCCAATAAGAAATTTCTAACATAGCTCAGAAACGGATGACAATTTCAGAATAAGATAGAAGAAGAAAGGTTATATATATAAAATAATACATTTTTATAAATTTCATTTGTTAATATTTTTAATACTATTGCAATCACATCATGTGCGTGTGTGTGTGTGTGAGTGAGTGACTCGTCGATGTCGTATTCTTCGACCGAATCCAGGTCGAAACAATCGAATGCTTATAAAAAAAATTTGAAAAACAAAATATAACTAGCCTTTTTCTGTTTAACAAATGCCATGATGTCAATTTGTATTGCATTGTATTTTTATATGTTTGATTACGGTTTTCTAGGAGAAAAAGAAGGAAGCTTTTGCCTTTTGAAAGGAGGCCTTTAGCCTTTTTAATTAAATTTGACTAAATAAAATAAAAACTACCTTATACATCCGTACTGTACGTAATCTGTTGGGATGTAGTATTTGATATTCAAATTTAATTCTATTTTGACCTACTATGTACAAAAGAAGCAGAGAATTCGACTGTTTTTTAAAGTAAGTGTGCAAGGGAATTATTTATAAGGACCTATAAGATAAATGTGTACAATATGGGTATTGCGCAAGGCATTCTACATGCACCCACCTCGGATATTGCATTGAGTATGTACAGATTAATAGTAAATATATAGATTTTAAATTAGTTATAATGGGATTGACATATTAACAAATAAAAATGTAAGTGTGTTTTTTTTTATAGGATAAGGGTGACAAACGAGCACACAGTCCACCTGATGGAAATTGGCTGCTGCGGCCCATAGATATCTACATCTATCCTCGTTTGCGAATCAAAATGCAGATGCGTTGTCACCCGTGAGGACTAAGATGGAATGCCTCATTTCCAGTGAAAAAGGCCTCCGGCCACCTGCACTCACCAAGCGAAACGCAGAGGTAAACCTATACTTCACGCTGGTATTCTGTGAGGTCGTGGTACCACCACGGTTCGAGCCGGCCCATCCGTGCGACAGCAAAAGGTGCCGCGTGGCTCCACTGTTAAATTTGGTAAAACAATAAGCGAGTATACCTACTTAGGTGATATTGGTGATTTTTTATCGAAAGTGTATATCCTATTACCTCTACCTATTTCTGTCACCAAATAGTAATGCTGGAACTCCTGTGTTACAGTCTGAAGGATGTAGATATGCAGTATATTTACAAGCTGTGAGCTACTCCACCTTAGTTCTCAGAAGTGACAAGGCATCTGTAGTCTTTCTTCCTACCCATAAAAATAAAAAAGATGCGTTTTCACGTCTGAGGACTATGATGGGATGCCTCATAGTAATTATAGTTTATATAGTTTTTTTAAACGTTAAATTACACAAGGACCAACATCCAAACCCAGAACAATTATTTGTAGGCCATACAAATACTTATTCCTTGCAGGATTCGAACCCGCGGCCCCCAGCGCTGCAACTCATCGCTAAGCCACTGCGCTACGGAGCCGGAGTAGCAGTGCACACGCTGCTGTTTAGTAGCAGAAATAGGTGAGAGGGTGGTAATTATTACAGGTAGCTATTTCTAATTTCTTTTGTTTTGTTAATTGTGTAACATAATACATATATGATTGTATGCTGTTATTTTTTTTAAGTCCCGCTGGATTTCTTGTTAGTTCGTAACAAACGAGCACACAGTCCACCTGATGGTAAGTAGTTGCTGTGGCTTATAGGCATCTACATCTATCCTCGATTATGAATCAAATTGCAGATGCGTTGTCACCCGTGAGGACTAAGATGGAATGCCTCCTTTCCAGTAAAAAGGGTCTTCCTAGGACAGAGGTTTTTTTCGGAACCAGTGGTAAATTAGAGAAAAGAGTGGCTTGCAATAAGTATTATTTATAATCTATATTGAATAAAACAATTTCTGTTTCGGTTTCCTACCCAGGCCTTCTAGGCAGAAAAGAAGTAAATGTAAGAAGCTAAAAGAAAAAGTAGTATTTTCGGCCACAAGTATTAAATCAAACTTTCTTAACATAACTATAGTTATATATGGTAGAGCCATGTTGCAGCTATATTATGTTTGTAGTACGATTGGGTCGGCTGGACTTTGGAACGACCATCGCTTTTAAAGAATACCGGCGTAAAATAGCAGCATGCATGTTTTGCATGGTGAATGTAGAGATCCGGAGATCCCTTTCTACTGGAAACTAGGCATTACATCTTAGCCCTCAGGGTTGACAACGCATCTGCATTATGATGCTCAATCTAGGATGGGCTGTATGCTCGTTTGTCCCCTTATTCTATAAAAAAAAACTTGTACTGTGTTCGATAAAATAATCGACGTTAAATCTATCCTATTATTTGCAGTCTCGTTTACTTTCTTTTACAATATAATGTTAGTTTTTCTTTTATTCGTTTAAAACCACTTCTCATTGATCTTTCGCTATCACGAACCTCCCAAATATCTAACGTTTTAAAATGGAATTAGATGATAAGGAAAAAGAACACAGTTTATATCTTCTAAAATTAATATAGTTAATACTTTTGTAACTGTACTAACGTAAATATTTATCAAAGTGTGCATACGTCCTAATAAAGACGAGCACATAAATTATTCCAAATGGGCTTCTGCGTTTTGCTTTCAGTTAAAGCGCGGGTGCGTCAGGTGAAGTTGGCTGTTATATTAATGATAAGACGTTCTAATTTCGATCGGTTATAACGACCACTTGAAATATGTTTTCCTATTATATCTATGTTGCAACGACCGTCAAGTGTTTGCTAAGATAAACTTTTAACTATAAGGCCCGCCGCATACATACGGAATTCCGTTTCAGAATTCCGAACGGGTCGACCACACACATACTTAATCCCCTTTTGGCCCCAAAATTTCGAACGGAAAACTATTGTACGTGTGTGACGGGTCATATATTTTATATGAACTTACTGCGTTCGGAATCTCGAATCGGAATATCGAAACGAATTCCGTATGTATGTGTTGGGCCTAAGGGCGTTTGTGCACTCACTAGTAGGTATTCGATTCGACCATCGTCATAAAAATTAGTCGGAACTTTTGTTGTTATACTATTACAAGACTGCTTCGTCGGTCTAGTCGTAAACGCCACTACTGATCGTGTGGTCCCTGGTTCGAATCGCGGGTCGGCTCATAATCAGCAATTGGGTTTTCCTGTTAAGAAACTCTTAGTAGCTGTCCGGAGTCGTAATTTAAATCGATAAAAATAAATAAAATATGAGTTAGACATAAATAACTATTTTTATAATTTTGTCAGTCTGTCTGTCAGAGTTAATCTTTGGAATGGCTAAAACGATTGTAATGAAACTCGACGAACAGATAAAGTCAACCAACAGACCAATACCACGAGGTATTTAGGCTATAAATTATTCGAGAAAATTGCAACGTTTTTTTGAGAAATCGAAAACTGATAAAATAGGTAAATGGTCTTTGATGATATTCTTAAATTTAAATAACGTCACATTAATAGATCCTTCCCAAGCTAAGTTTGTATAATTTAAAATAAAACGCGATAAAAGCCTTAAAAAGTTTTATTTAATGTGTAGTATGCACAACACTTTTCTTCTTCGAGTTTTCGAGTTACTTCGAGTTTTATACGTGGTGCCATGCTGCAGCTATATTATTAGTAGTATAGTTGTAGCACGAATGGGTCAGCTCGACCGGGGAAGCACCACACTCTCACAGAATACTAGTAATTTGGATTCCTTATTGAGGATAAATGTAGATGTCTATGCGTCACAGTAACCACTTACCATCAGGTGGACTGTGTGCTCGTTTGTCATCCTATCCTATAAAAAAACACTTATTGTACGAACTATTTCAAAATATTTTTCATTCGTACGTAAAAAAAAATTTCGTATGTCAAATTTCGTTTTTTCAAATCCGCTAGTTTCGAAATGAGGTTTCACAAACTGGAGAAGAAACATCAATAGAAATTCCTCAAATATTCCTTTTTTTTAATAATGTTTACACTAATACAAAACCAATGTGCATACGCCCTTAAAATATAACTAAGTTTGCATTACGTTACGAAACTAAGAGGTTAGGTCTAGAGGAAATTCGCGCATGTCTAACATTATACATGTATTTGTCCGTACTTAGAAGAGAGTTATTTGACGTAACAGCGGATACTCTACGTCGGGAAAGTTTGGTTACGAAGTCGGAGTAACGAGGTCGTGGAAATCGTCAGCGAGTGTAACGAAAACGTTTCAGGTACAGTGGACTGCATTCATGGGACAAGCACGAACAAATTTTTAGTAGTTATAACATCGGTTTTATACGTGGTAGAGCCATGCTGCAGCTATATTGATAGTATAGTTGTAGCACGAATGGGTCGGCTCGACCGGGGAAGGATCACAGAATACCAACGTAAAATAGTAGCTTAACACTGCTGTGTTTCGTATGATGAGCGTAAAGCACCGGAGAACTTTTTTACTGGATAAGAGGCATTCCATCTTAGTCCTCACGGCTGACAACGCATCTGCATTTTGATTGGTAAACGAGGATACATGTAGATAGATGTCTATGGGCCGCAGCAACCACTTACCATCAGGTGGACTGTGTGCTCGGTTGTCACCCTATCCTATAAAAAAAATCTGCTGTAACGTACGGTTCCAATCCCCTTAGTCGTTAGATTTACAAAACGCCTGCTTTGTTTCAACCTTTCTTCAACCAACCTGCCCGTTCAAAACAGATGATCACCAATATTTTACTAAGTGTCAGGACCGCTTTATCTCCCTAGGAGTTCGTCTAGGTAGGTACCACCTTCCTACCTATTTCTGCCACCAAATAGCAATGCTTGCTATGTTCCGGCCTGAAGGGTCTAGAGAGCCATATAATTATAGGCTGTAGGACATTCCACCTTAATCCTTAGGTGATAACGCATATGCATCATTTTTTGTTTGATGTTGGGTGCAGGTGTCCATAGACTGGAGTATCAGGTAAGTGGCTACTGGTAAATGGAACAGATAAGTTCGTAGGTCCTTTTAATTTTATATAAAATAATAAAAATCCAGATATAAAAATAATCGTTCGGGATGGCATCAGAGGCAGCTGAACTAAGTGGCACAAATATGAGTCTCTATGATGATGATGACTACATATTTATGCACATTTTCTTGGAGAGTGGTGACTATTCGTCCGTGGGATCCACGTGCGGTGAATTTCCTAAAGGAACTGTATCCGGGACTGATCATCGCTGTTGATGATAAGAGGGCTGGTTATTTTCTCGCTCAAAGGCTAAGTATAGCCTTTAAGCGAAAACACACAGCCAGTGTTCTTGGCACTATACCGCAGGGACTGTATGACAATTTAAGTTTTTAATTTTCGTTTTTTATAATGTTAATGGATAATGTTTATTAGAATGTTATATAAAGAAATTATACTAATCAACAAAGCTGCGATTAGTTAATATAATTCCTTAATAGAAAGCTAATATTAATTTTATGAATCAATCTGTACCATTTAATAGTTCCCACATTCAGAACTAGCCTCAGCATTATTGTCTCAAGTTTAACATT